AGAAGTGACATTACTACGATGTGATAATGGTTGGAGGTTGGCTGCAAGAGCAAGTCCAACTATGTTTACAATACATTTTTGCACCTTGTCTAAAAGAGAAAGGTTATCATTAGAAGATCTGCCCCAAATATTGCAACAGTATTCCATACAAGGCCGGATTTGAGATTTATAGAGATAGAGAATAGAATCCGGAGTAAGAAAGTATCGTTGTTGAGCATGATAAAGAGATGCAACTTTAGCAGATGCTAATTTTGCAACGAATTTGGTATATGGTTTCCAAGAAAGAATGGAAGTAAGAGTTAATCCTAGAAAATGAAGGGTAGATGATTCATCAAGTACATTACCTTTCATAAATATAGGAAGGTCTAAATTATTGCGATAACAATTGGCTGAAAAAAATTGAGTTTTATCTGAATTAAAGTTCACCAGCCACTGTGAGCCCCATGCTGTAGCAGAAGTGAGATCTTTTTCAAGCTCAAATGCTCTCTCCAAGCATTCAGAGAGTGTATGCTTCTTATCATGACAAGAATAAATAATAGTATCATCAGCGAACAATGCCACCTTTGATGTGAGAATATCTGGAAGATCTTTAATGTAAATTAAAAAGAGTATTGGGCCAAGGATTGAACCTTGAGGAACCCTTGAGGTTACAGAGTAAGAAGAAGAGTGCTGTCCTTCAAGGACAACTTTTATACTATGATTGGAAAGGAAGGATTCAATAATCTTAAAGATGTTTCCAGATACATCATAAGCCGTTAGAAGGAAGCTTATGAAGAAGACCTCATGCCAAACTTTATCAAACACTTTAGAAATGTCAAGAGCAATGGTCTTAACCTCTCCACCTTTATCTAATGCACAATAAAACTTATTTGATTTGCTAACAGTAATAACTCCGTTATTACTGTTAGCAAATCAAACATAGAACAAGAATATCGAAATTCATATTGATGATCAGAAAGTTAAATTCAAGATGAGAGATTAAGTGTTTGAGGGCTTTGGCATTAGACAAACTTTTTTTAAATTATTCCTAGCAGTAATAAACAGACGTCTGTTTTCTGGAGAATTGTTTTGCTGATAGATATAGAAGTAATGGTTTCAATTGGCAATTGCAGCAGCACAATGTGAGGAAAACCATGGAGAATAGGAAGGCTTGACTTGGAATCATTGTGAGGGAATAATGGATTCCATACCAGCCTGAATCCACGAAGTTATGTAAAAAGCACATTTGTTAATAGGAAGTTATATATATATATATATATATATATATATATATATATATATATATATATATATATATATATATATATATATATATATATATATATATATATATATATAAAAGATAACATAAAAACAATACAAATATAAACCATTTTTATTTTACAAGATAATATACTCCCTATGTTCAATATGTGTAAACACAAAAACAAATAAACTTTAAAACATGACTTTTTGTTTTAAAGTTTATTTGAATTTAAAATATTTTTATTAGCTTTTTAATTCTTAACCATTTTTCATCAATATCTAATATTTTATTTGTTTTAATGTTTATTTAAATTTCAATAAAATATTAGGTATTGATAAAAAATGTTTAAGAATTAAAAATTAATAAAAAAATTTTAAAGGTGTGCAACCACCATCAACTTGGAACAACAAACATTCCTTACCCCAGAGTCAATGGAAAAGAAAACATTCATCAAGTGTAGGAAGTAATGTTGTGGAAAGATCGAAAAAGCATTGGGTTGGGCGACCTTTAAATAAAGACATGTCTCATTTAAAAGCTCGTCGGTTCAATAAGAAGCCATTTGCTGATGATTACCAATCTGTTGATGGAACTCCAATGCCAAGAAAAACTGGTAAGAAATAAATCTGAAATTTTTGTTAAAAAAAGTCTTTTTAACAAAAGATAAAGCTTATGTCAGAAGTTTGAAATTTTTTATATCTTTAGTAGAAAAAATCTGTTTTTTTTTTTGTTTTTTTTTTTGTTTTTTTATATAATTTGAAGCTTTTAAACAATTTTCTTTTGTTGACTTGTTATTTAACATTCTTTTTAACTTTTGCAATAACTTCCAACCTAAATGTTACTGAAAAAAGAATTTTTTTCTGAAATTTGGAAAGAATTAAAACTGAAATTTTTTTATATGCAGATTTTCATGTAAAAAAACAAGAAAGTATTGTTCATTATCAAGAAAGCGATATACCATATCAGCATTTCCAACATCATGACATAATTGGACATCGTGTAGTTGAATATAAACCTGTGTATATAAAAAATCCATCACCAAACCCATCTTCTTCAAGCAAATGTGAAGTTAAAACTGTTCAAGAAAACCTGAATGTAAATAACATTTATGAAAAGAAAGAAAAAATAAAAAGACAAAATGAAGGAAAAAATACAAAAGTAAATAATAGTTATGAACAAAGAGAACATACTAAAAGAGAAAATGAAGTCAAAAAACAGGAAGAAAATAAAAAAATATTACTGTGAGTATTTTTGACTTTTTGGTTGTTCTCTTTTTGTGTTTGTTTTATTTAACATGTTAATTATGTTATAAATTCAAAAAATAAGATAAGGTGCTGCTTATAGGATGCCCTTTTAAAGATGCCCCTTTTTTTTTGTTAGCGAGCGTTCTACCACCTAGTAAGTGACCAGGGTTGATATATGACTGGGGCCGGCTTTGTGACCGGGGCTGCATAAACATATGTACATCCTAAAGTACATTTTTTAAATTCAAAATTTATGTTATATTTTGTATATACATGCATATATAAACACCACTATGATCAACATGATCATCATTATCATCATCATCATCCTCATCAGGCTTTAACCTTCCTCTTTTATGCTGTTTCTCTAATATAAACAATCTAGAGCATTTTTTTTTTCTTAACTAAAGCTCATTCATACAATATGTAAGCCACTCTCTTCAAGTTTTCTTACTTCTACCACTACCATTTTCTACTGAAGCTGCTACCTCTCTTCATGTTGATCCCTAAATTACTTTTCTAACAAATGTTGTTCAATACAAGGTTTTTTTAAATCTGTCTAAGATTTCTTTTTTTCCTTTTTTTTTTGCCTCCTTTTTTTTCCTCTTGTCTTGCTAGAGTCACACCACATATTCATCTGATCATCTTCTGATTGGGAAAATACTACACCATATAAATCTAAGATTTCTTTTTTTTCCTTTTTTTTGCCTCCTTTTTTTTCCTCTTGTACACCATACACCAAACACAATAAAATTTATATAATAATGAAAGGATATTGTATGCTAGCATCTAAATAAGTAGCAAACATATATGTTTATATCCATAGTATGCATGCATAAAGTGCATCTTGAAAGCTTTTATTTTATCTGGAACAAAAGTTTAGAAGCTTTTTAATACATCTCCAATTTTAAGTCAAGCCTCATTCTAATTCACATTTTTAGCATCTTGAGCAGATGCTTTTTTATTATAATTAAACATTAATCATTTTTTTTCATCTTTTTTACAAGAACATCTCTCTTAAGAACAAATGTCCTTTTATTATTGCAAAAAACTAATGTAAAAAAGTCCTCTCTGATGTTAAGCTCTGTTATTCTCAGTTTACTAAATCTTGTATCTTATCTCAGGTGTTAGGTTCTAGAGACTTTTGGTTAGTCTTCAACAGTGTCATTAACTAAAGTAAGTCTAACATTTAATCTCTAATTCATAGGTCTGATCTTTTTACTTCTCCCCAGAATAAAGCAGAGTTATTTGCAAAGAAATCTTTGACTAATTTGACTCTTGAATCTAATGGCCATACTCTTTCCGACAGTTCTTCCCTGGTAGTACCGCTCTCAACTTGTTTCTCCGCACAGCGGCCTTGTTGGTCAAGGTTTGTGTTTCGAAGTTAAAGAGTTGAGAGAGGGTTATAACCACTATAAAGTAGCCTCCTCGACTGTAGTGGCCTTCTCAGCCTTGAGGAGGTGAATTTAAAAAAATTAAACAGATTAACTGATGTTTAACATTGTTAAACATCAAAATCACTCTGTCTTCCAATTCTAAGGTTAATTCTCAATTAAACACTTCTACAGTTTGTGACAAGATTTCCATCACAGTTCTAAAAATGTGTTCTCCAGAATTCTCTTCAATTTTAGCTAAACTTACTCAATAAATGCTTTTAATTTTTCAAAACTCTAGAAAACACTTTGACCTCTCTAACTATTATATATTAGTCTTCACTCTGTTATTAGTTTCTTTATATAAAAGTTTTGAGGTTATTAGATTATTTCTTTCTAACTGCAGTATTAAAGTTATTCTTGAAGGTCTACCCTCTTCTTTATTTCAAGTAACTTTAAGGGTACTACAAGGTTCTATTTTAGCTCCTGTATTGTTTATTATCTACAATAACAATCTTCATGAAATCTAAAGTGGCTCTATTTGCTGATGACTCAACTTTATACGTCTTGACAAAAAACTTTTTGATTGCTTAGAACAAGCATCTGGTTTTTAATCTGATCTCTTTTCTGTAACAGCCTAAGGCCTGGAAACTAGCCTAAGGTCTGCAAAAGGTCTGCAATTGCTTGTGGATTTAAATTCTGGTTTTAAAATCCACAATTTTTGTTGCAAAAAAATATTACAATATTGTTGGCATTCTTATGTTGACAAATAACAACCCTCTTATTCTTAGACAAAGTCTAAAAGCACATTGTAAATGTGATTAAACTTGCTTTCTCCGCCAAGCTTGAGCCACTCTCCTGTTGTTGTAAGATTGCATTTCTTTCTTTTTTCTACAAATACAATCATGGTCAATGCTCAAACAAGCTATCATCATTATAACAATAAACCAAAACTCATTCGAACCAAACCAAAATTCATTTATATCGCTTTTTATTGCATCCTTTTACCTTATCTGTCCTTTCATGATATAAAAACTTTTATTAATTCAGTTTTTTTCCTTGAACATCATCAAAAAACATTATAAATCTTACTCATCTTCATGTTTTTTCTTTTTTATATAACTTACAAGTTTTTAAATCTTCAGTTATACATTTCCTTGTATTTTAACTTATTCTCTATTTTAAAGTAACTCATAAATTTATAGTGGTTGTTTGCAATCTTGTTGGAAATAAATTAGAGTTTTAAAATATATAAATGTATGTCAGTATTTAATAAATAATAAATGTAAGCATAAAGTTTTAATATATTAAGTATTATAAATTTATTTCTAGCCCCAGCTATCAACCCCTGTTAAATCTTATTTTGCTGGGGCCGAGGCCAGGTTTACAAAAAGTCTCATTTTTAGCTGGGTCTGGTCACCTACTACTACCACTACAATATTACTTTTAAATGCTTTAAAAAAAATCTATAGAAGAATCTAAAAAAAAAAGGTCTCTAAAGAATAAGTTTTAATTATAATTCAATAAGTTAACAGTAATTTAACTTTAGGTTTAAAATTTTAATTTCTAAATTTTAAGTTTTTAAATTAATTTAGTGGAACAATAAAATAAAAGTTTGTTCAAATATTTTTTGGGAACAATTTAAAAAAAAAACTATAAAAGAGGCGTTATTATTTTTTTATTTTTTATTAGTTAGCGAAATTACCAACTATACTTTTATTATTTTTATTTTTTATTATTTTTTAATTAGCAAGTAAATAAATAATAATAATAAGTTAACTAAATAAAACACAAGAAAAAAGTGACAATTAAACTTGGACAAATCTAGGTTTAACAGTAAAAAACAGTAATTTCAGTACTGAAAATACCCACCTTGGCTTTAAAACATATTTTTACATGCCTGGGCATTGAATCTATCAGGTTTTTGCATAGTTTATTTGGAATTAAGTTCCAAGTGCTTTCAAGAATCTCTTTTAAGTCTGGTTTGCTTGTGATTTTAACATTGCTCGTTTTAAGGTCTATCCAAGCCCAATTTTTTATATATATATATATAATTTCATTTTTCATATTGTTGAATTCCAATTGTTTTGGTGGTACGTGTTACCTGTGTTTTTATAATTTATAATTTTGTTGTGCACACGTATTTTTCTGATGCATTCGTTTTTTTTAGCGTTTTTAAAGTTGTTCAATGTACTTGAATTATACAAAGTTGTTATTTGTTTTCTTGTTTTGAGTCCATTTTAAGCAGTTAAATACTTCATATATTACAAAATCTAACTACCTAAAATTTTAACTACCTGCTAATTGATTTTTTTTTCTTTTGATTTAATTGCCAAATGCACTAATAAACAAACAAAAAAAGAAACATCTCTTATTGTTTTTTAAATTGCTCACAAGAAAAATTTATTTGAACAAATTTTTACTCGTCCAAAAGAGTTAGAAAATGAGTTTATTAGTTGTAGCTCCATGAAAGTATTGAAAATGTATTGACTATGAGGGTATTGCTCAGGGTATGGAATGTATTGACTATGAGGGTATTGCTCAGGGTATGGAATGTATTGACTATGAGGGTATTGCTCAGGGTATGGAATGTATTGACTATGAGGGTATTGCTCAGGGTATGGAATGTATTGACTATGAGGGTATTGCTCAGGGTATGGAATGTATTGACTATGAGGGTATTGCTCAGGGTATGGAATGTATTGACTATGAGGGTATTGCTCAGGGTATGGAATGTATTGACTATGAGGGTATTGCTCAGGGTATGGAATGTATTGACTATGAGGGTATTGCTCAGGGTATGGAATGTATTGACTATGAGGGTATTGCTCAGGGTATGGAATGTATTGACTATGAGGGTATTGCTCAGGGTATGGAATGTATTGACTATGAGGGTATTGCTCAGGGTATGGAATGTATTGACTATGAGGGTATTGCTCAGGGTATGGAATGTATTGACTATGAGGGTATTGCTCAGGGTATGGAATGTATTGACTATGAGGGTATTGCTCAGGGTATGGAATGTATTGACTATGAGGGTATTGCTCAGGGTATGGAATGTATTGACTATGAGGGTATTGCTCAGGGTATGGAATGTATTGACTATGAGGGTATTGCTCAGGGTATGGAATGTATTGACTATGAGGGTATTGCTCAGGGTATGGAATGTATTGACTATGAGGGTATTGCTCAGGGTATGGAATGTATTGACTATGAGGGTATTGCTCAGGGTATGGAATGTATTGACTATGAGGGTATTGCTCAGGGTATGGAATGTATTGACTATGAGGGTATTGCTCAGGGTATGGAATGTATTGACTATGAGGGTATTGCTCAGGGTATGGAATGTATTGACTATGAGGGTATTGCTCAGGGTATGGAATGTATTGACTATGAGGGTATTGCTCAGGGTATGGAATGTATTGACTATGAGGGTATTGCTCAGGGTATGGAATGTATTGACTATGAGGGTATTGCTCAGGGTATGGAATGTATTGACTATGAGGGTATTGCTCAGGGTATGGAATGTATTGACTATGAGGGTATTGCTCAGGGTATGGAATGTATTGACTATGAGGGTATTGCTCAGGGTATGGAATGTATTGACTATGAGGGTATTGCTCAGGGTATGGAATGTATTGACTATGAGGGTATTGCTCAAGGTATGGAATGTATTGACTATGAGGGTATTGCTCAGGGTATGGAATGTATTGACTATGAGGGTATTGCTCAGGGTATGGAATGTATTGACTATGAGGGTATTGCTCAGGGTATGGAATGTATTGACTATGAGGGTATTGCTCAGGGTATGGAATGTATTGACTATGAGGGTATTGCTCAGGGTATGGAACGTATTGACTATGAGGGTATTGCTCAGGGTATGGAACGTATTGACTATGAGGGTATTGCTCAGGGTATGGAACGTATTGACTATGAGGGTATTGCTCAGGGTATGGAACGTATTGACTATGAGGGTATTGCTCAGGGTATGGAACGTATTGACTATGAGGGTATTGCTCAGGGTATGGAATGTATTGACTATCAGAGTATTGCTCAGGGTATGGAATATATTGACAATAAGGGTATTGGTCAAGGTAAAGTAAAGATAGTATCACTGAAATTTGCAATTTAGCTGATGACAACTCTATTTCTATTTTTGGTATCAGTGTAAATATCTTTTTTGCGTGTAAGAAATAATAATAGCATTGTTTAGTAGTATAATAATATAAAATATTTGCTGTTTCACTCCATTTTATTTACTCTGTTACCCCATTTTTGACTCTAAGCACTTTGTTCGAATTTTATAAAAGCTCTTTTCTATAAAGGAAATAAAAAATTTGTTTTTCGCTTTATTTATAGTAAACAACACAAAGAGATTGATACTAATGCTTACAATAGGATCAAAATTATTATTGAGCGAGACAATGAAAAAGCCAACTATAAACAAAAAAAAGTTAAAGACCGTATTCAAATGGAGTATGATAGAGAGGATTCTAAACAAAAACAGAAGTTTGCTCGAATAAATGCAATGGCAGAAAAACGAACGAATTATTTAACAGCCAACCATGGAAACATTGAAGAAAAAAGTTCCCAAACTGAGGTAATGAGAACTATATAGAAAAATTAATTTTGATGAATGAATGTTGAGAATTGAGTGTTAATGACTGAATGTTGATGAATGAAAATTGATAGATTAGTTTTGGTGAGTAAATTTTGATGAATGAATGTTGAGAATTGAGTGTTAATGACTAAATGTTGATGAATGAAAGTTGATAAATTAGTTTAGTGAGTAAATTTTGATGACTGAATGTGGGTGAATGGCTGTTGACACACACCATTGAATTTTCTTTTTTACCATGATACAGTTTTAAAAATGATATTATAGAAAAGTTATTTAAACATGAAATTATTAAAAGATAAAATTATTGAAAAAACTATTTGCTCTAAAACAATTAAAAAATTTTTTGTAAGTTTATTTGGCATTTATCATTTTATGAAAACGGTTTTATCATTTTATAAAAAAACCAGCTTATTGACAAGTTTTATAAAATCTAAAATTAAAAATGAAAACGTATTTATTCATCTAGAATAATGGTTGAAGAGAAATAACTTATCAAATTATAAATTAAAGATAAAATAAAAAGATAAGGAATTTTAATTTCATTTTTATCTTTATTAGATACCTCCATCTCAAAAAAGACTAGATTTTGAAAGACAACGCGTTGAAAACCAAATTCAAAACCACGAAGCCAAAATTCAACGTTTAAAAGCTATTAGAAAATATACTGACGCAAGAGTGGAAACATTAAAACGGAACAATGATAAAGCCCGTGATATAAACGAATATGTGAAAAATCAACAACTGTCTAATAATCGTGCGAATATTTTACCTTAATTGACTAATATTGATTTTATATTAACTTGTAAAAAAATTATTTATTAGAGTTTTTTAATACAGTATTTTTTTATTAGTGTTATATAATCTTGCAGCGTAGAAAACAGTCACCCAAGAATTTTAGCATCTGTATACAATTATTTATCAATAAATTATATTTATCTAATTACTATATGATGAATTTGATTTACAGTTAGCTCATGTACTTTAAAAGTTAAAGAAGTCTCAAAGTATGTTCGAATTATAGGAGTTCAATTCTAAATATCAAACACTGAATGGACCAAAGAATTTGTTCAAACTCTAAACACTGAAGGGGCCAAAAAATTTTTTCAAACACCAAACACTGAAGGGACCAAAGAGTTTGTTTAAACACCAAACACTGAAGGGGCCAAAGAGTTTGTTCAAACACCAAACACTGAAGGGACCAAAGAATTTGTTCAAACACCAAACACTGAAGAGACCAAAGAATTTGTTCAATTTAAATGATCCTTAGAAAGAGTTCAACGCATGATCTTTAGAATTACAAGAATTCAACGCATGAGAATTTTTTATAAATTATGCCATGAAAGCTACAAGTTATAGGAGCTATAGAATCGCATAATCAGTCGTTTATTAAAAATAAATCTGAATGTTTAATAATTAGTTTATTGCTTTATTGTAGTACATTTTCTCCATCTTTTTTATTATGAAACACAGACGTTTGACAAACAAAACCACGTAGTGGCCTTGTATGTCAAACATTAAATAGATTTTATTAATAGTTTTTTTATTTTGTTGTTTATGATTTGATGTTATACGATTTTGATGTTGCAATATTTAGTTGCTATACATGTTCAAGTTCAAAAAGATGATTGTGACGTAAACTGTGCATTTGCAATTTGTATGATGTCACCATATCATCAATTAAAATTAACCTTTTTTAAATGTCTTTTAAGATCGTATTAACTTAACTTTATAGGGTCTTTATTCGCCTTTTTCCTACACTTTATTCCTTCGCTTTATTCCATCGCTTTATTCCTTCGCTTCATTCCTTCGCTTTATTTCTTCGCTTTATTCCTTCGCTTCATTCCTTCGCTTCATTCCTTCGCTTTATTCCTTCGCTTTATTCCTTCGCTTTATTCCTTCGCTTTTTTCCTTCGCTTTATTCCTTCGCTTTATTCCAATATTTCCATAAGTTGTAATAAATTTATCACCGAGCCACGTTTCAAATGCCTCTAAACTACCTCCAAAACTTAGTTTTGTCATATTATTATTTGGTTACGATACGGGGGTTGCAACCACTTTTTTCAATTATTAAAAAAATATAAGCCAGATGGTCTTTTGTTTTTAGTTTTTGAAAATTATATCTCCATCAGCTTGAAATTGATCTAAACATGCGTGATGATTAGGTATCTCACATGTACTAAAATTTTTTATTGCATAATTCTCCCAACTTGATTTATGTTTAAGTGTCATCCAATGTTCAACATGTTTATATAGCTCTTTTCCATACCGGTTACGAGAATACAAACCCGGGTTTTCAGGAACAATTATTGATTCATTTAAGGCATTGATAATGGTTTCATTACCAGGAAGTGTCTGTTGTCCATACAATTGAATACTCCAACCATTTGCACGAATATGAATCACCCCACCATTTAATGTAGAGCTATTTTGTAAATATGGAACTTTGTCAATAATAAGTTGATACCCTTTTTTTTTTAACGTTGATCGCATTTTTGTTACTTTTTCAAATTGCTCTGATAAAAAGGAAATGTCAAAGTCTCTCTCCCATGGTAAAATTCCATTGAATTTTACTAATCCCAACACACTACCCTCCTGAACTAAGTATTTAATTCCATTTGTTTTAAACATAAGCAAAAGTAATTTAATGGCATCCACAAGATTAGCAATGCAACATGGTGGAACAGCCATACCTCTTTTGATAATGCATTTACTCTTTGTTGTGTAATTAAAACCTTGGCGACAACCGAACCACAAAACTTTTTTTCTTAAAGAAATTATCTTTTTTATATCCCATTTCTTAGCAAAATTGGCGAGTTGAAAATCTTCTTCTTCATCTTGATCATTGTAAAACATAACATCGGGACATACAAGCAGCTTGAGTTTTTTGGTATTTAAGTTTACAAAAAAGTCTTTAAAAACCCCGTAACTAAGGTTGTTATCAAACTCTAAAGATTGAAACAATTGAACAGATGTGAGAAATGGAGATTCTGTAAAAGTGCAAATAAGACATTCTTTCTCTGAACTAAAATATCCAACTTTATATTCTAAAGTGTATAGTTTAAGTACTGTTTGATAACAACCTCGATCCCATTCATTTTTTCGAGTTTTTCTTGAACCACTTACTATTCCTGAACCAGAACTTTCGTGTACATGAATCAACCTTTCAATATCAAACGAATTATCAAAGTGATATAAATATTGTGCAAAAAGTATATAGGGCGTAGTTACATTACGAATTACCTTATTTAAAAGGAAACCTAGACGATCATTTTTGCTTAGATGATAATGAAATAACCTATCTGACTTCAGTTTAAATGAAGAAACAAAATTGTTTTTGTTTGTTATAATTTTTATAGTTTTAAATATTGAAAATACAGCTTTCCAGGAGTCATTCGATTTAAATGAGGGAAAAATGAGAAACAAAGTAACTGCATCTTTTAAAGAAACTCGTAAACATGTATTCCGAACAAACCCAACTTTGTATAGAGGGTAACCATACAAGGCTCCTTTATATGTTTCATTGCAACTATACACAATTTTATTTATGCGAAAACTTTGATTAATAAATGCAGTTTCCTCATTAATTTGTTTTGGTTTAGCAAACATTTCAGTTTCATTTTTTAATTCTTCACTTTGTTTTTTTAAACTGTTTATTTCATTTTGAAATTTCACTAAAACTCTAAAATGTTGATCTGTATACTTTAAGTCGACCTCGTTCAAAGAAAGGCTTAAATTGATAACGTTCTGTACTAACACGTCCGTAACATGTTCAATGTGCTGAAGTTTGGTATGAAGTTTACTTGCTCGTTTAGACAATATATGTTGATGATGCACACGTCTATTGCACAGCTTTTCTAAACATCGGTCGCACAGTTGTTCATTATTTATGTCCATGTAATTTATCAAAATCCAACAAAGTAAAAAAATGGTAATATAAAGCATATGAATTTTTTTTAACATTTTATAATAAAGTGTAAATAAAGGCTATGATATAACATATAATGTATATGAAATAACAAAGAGTTAAAATCACGGTCCATTTCACAGATCAAACGATTTAAGAACTAACAATGCTGCAAGTATTGATATTGAAAAGTAGTTAATGATTAACAGAAAAAGCTCACAACGAATAAACAAAAAGTTCATAACGGATATACAAAATGGAATTGTAAAACTTCAGATCGAAATAATGAAAAGAAAATGACTATAGCTTATTTGACAACAAAAAAGATTATTTATTCGACTTTAGTCCATGTAAAGAAATAAGTAAAAAATAAAGGCGAGACAAATTTTCTTAGAAAACTATGCGCAGTATCCACAAACTCTCAAAAAAATTATTTGATTATTACAAACACACCAACCACTAAACATACCACAAGCAAAGAAAAGTGTATTTCAATTTCAATTCATTTAAAACAAGTTTTTTACAAGTTTTTACAAAGATAATAACTTTAATGTTTCATATATAACTTTCATATTTTAAATGCATAAAAAATAGTGTAAAAAAACTTATTCATGGTTTTAATCTATAGCATAAACGCAATCACCACACAGCAAAATCCACGATTCTTGTTTTAAGCAAAAAAAGCCTTAAAACAAGATAAAAAAGACTTGTCCTTAAGAATTTTTTTAAGAATTTTTTTTCTTGTTTCAAGAATTTTTATTCTTAAAACAAGATTTTTTTTTTCTTGTTTCAAGAATTTTTATTTTTAAAATAAGAATTTTTTTTCTTGTTTCAAGAAAATTTTTGCTCAGAATAAGAATTTTTTCTTGTTTCAAGAATTTATATTCTTAAAATAAGAATTTTTTTCTTGTTTCAAGAATTTATTTTCTTAAAATAAGAATTTTTTTCTTGTTTCAAGAATTTATTTTCTTAAAATAAGAATTTTTTTCTTGTTTCAAGAATTTATTTTCTTAAAATAAGAACTTTTTTTACTTCAAGAATATTTTTGCTCAAATAAAGATTTTTTTTTCTTGCTTTATGATTTTTTTTTTATTAGTAAGAATTTTTTTCATTTCATTTCAAGGTTATTTTTGCTTAATATTCTATTTTTTTGTTTCAATAATATTTTCCTTGAACTGTAAAACAATATCACAAAAGTATTTTTTTTTATGGAAAAAATGAAACATTTCGAAATTAGGATGATATAGTATAAGAATATTCAAAAAGTATTTTTACATTTTCATCGTTGAAATAAAACTTGTTGTTTTATTTCAACGATGTTGTTGTAGCGGCAATACTCCTCCCATAGGCTACTCATCTGACCCAAACAAGTTTCTGTTGAGCTTTTATCTTAAATAAAATATAATTTAAGTGTAAAATATAATGTACAATGTCGTCATGACATGGGCGTCATAATCTATGTTCATTACATAGTATATTCCGATAAGTCCAATCACGGCGTCAGAAAATGAAAAACTTCGAAAAATAATTTTTTTGTTAGGCATAACGATTGCCTCGTCTCCATCGTCTGTTATGATAAGGATTTTTTTTATCTGAAAATAAATTATAAACTTTTTCTAAAATTCTAAAATTAAAACTCAAATCTATGTTCAATATAAGATTTCCTAAAATTTAATATTACATCTTTTCATATCTTAAAATGTTAGAAATCCTTTGATATACATATATATATATATATATATATATATATATATATATATATATATATATATATATATATATATATATATATATATATATATATATATATATATATATGTGTGTATATATATATATATATATATATATATATGTGTATATATATATATATATATATATATATATATATATATATATATATATATATATATATATGTATATATATATATATATATATACACACATATATATATATGTATATAAATATATATATTTATTTATTTATATATAAATATATATATTTATATATATATATATATATACACATATATATATATATATATATATATATATATATATATATATATATATATATATATATATATATATATGTATATAAATATATATATTTATTTATTTTTATATAAATATATATATTTATTTATTTTTATATAAATATATATATTTATATATATATATATATATATATATATATATATATATATATATAAATGTATATATATATATATATACATAGATACATACATACATACATACATACATACATACATACATACATACATACATACATACATACATACATACATATATATATATATATATATATATATATATATATATATATATATATATATATATATATATATATATATATATATATATATATATATATATATATATATATATATAAATATGTCTAATTTTAGTCTTTTTTTTCTTAGAATTTTTATTTGGGAATAATTGTGCCAAGTACTTTATTAAGTCCTTAACTTTAGATTCTAAAAACACATTCCTTATTTAATTATTAAATGATTTCAATATACTATTGCACCTAACCCTAAACAAGCAAAAAACAATTTTTTCAAAATAATAATTTTTTGCTGACCTCGTTTTCATCTTTTATGGTGAAAATTTTGTGAAAATGGTCTGTGTTTGCCAATTGTAATCTGATGCCGACCTGCAACAGTTTAAAGTCGGCAATTTATTGCCCACTTTAGTTTTCCTAATTCTGAGGGTTGTGTATGAATGCATACTCACCTATATTTGCTTTGGGTGGCAGTGAGAGAGGAACTACCAACTTGAGTATTTTATAATGTAAAAGTGTGTCGATTTCCTCAGTCAAGCTTATTCTTGCTGAGTCAACTTTGAGAGAAGACTTTAATACACATATCTTGTCAACAATCTGAATTAAACAATAATAAAAAAAAGCACACAAATATAAAAAGCATAGAAAATTTATAGGATAACCCATTAGGACCTTGCAGTTTTGAAAAATAACTTCTCACTTTAGAAACGATTTGTGAATTTGAAACACTATTTGATTTTTTCCAATAAAAATATAAAATCAACAATGAAAAAAAATCTTACCACGGTCACATTAGAGAAACATAGATATTTTTCTAAAACCGTTGCAATTCTATCAACACTGTCAACTGGACATTTATTTACCCAAGTATTTTTTTGAGTAAATTTAGCATCCAATGTTCTGGAGCATTTTAACTGATCATATTATAAAAATAAGGATAAAAAAAATGTAAAAAAACAAAATTAATTTTTAATATTAAATTTACTAATTGAAAAGTAATGTTTTTTTTACTTACTTTACATTGCGTATATTTGGAAACTTGCAATTGCTAAAAAGAAAACATACACATATATCATGTGTGCGTATGTATAAAGCATACACATGCATTTCATGGATATTTATAGTACTAGTACTGATCTAAAGAAAATTTAGCAATAATAATATTAAAATAGCAATAATATTATGAACAATAACAATAAGCAATAATGATATGAATAATAATAAAATAATACTATAATAATATTTATATTACATATAATCATACCAAAAGCAATAATAATAACCCACAATAAGCCCAACATTTTACAAACAGTATCTCTTAAAATAAAGGCGTAAAAACTAGTTTTAATAGTAGAGTTTAGTGATTTAAATTGAATATATGTAAAAAAAACTATTCCATGAAATTATTCCATTTTTTTTATTAGCTCTTTTTTTTTTTTTTTGTTTTTTAAAGTCTTTCTGCTTTGAATTAGTCTTGTACTATTTACATTCTCTTCACAAAAAAATTATTGTAATATTTATACTATATTGTAAATGATATCTATTTTTGTGAAAAATATATTGATTGAATAAAATATGGTAGTTTATTCCATGATTTTATACATTGGTTTGTGATTTATAGCCACACTAACTAAACAATGATTTAGGATATATAATTTGAGGTTACTAAAAGATGGAAGAACTTTTTATAGTAGTAAAGAAAATACAGCTTGAATTAGAATGATATTCTTGAAGGTATTTTATTTTAAATGTCTTGTTTTTAGATTAGATATTCTTAAAAAATTATTGGTTGATAAGTAGTTTATAGGGTATTTCACTTAAATAACAATTATATATATTAATACAAACAAGGTACAAACAAAAAGGGATACTACAAACAAGGAGGTGAAGCCATTCTTAATGAGTTTAATAAATTATATATAAGCCATTCTTTATGAGTTTAATAAATTATATATATAATAATTATATATAATTTCTCAAAAAAGAAGGGCCTTAAAAGTACTCTTAAATGAAAAAAAAAATAACAATAGCCATCAAAAACTAACCCTATAAACAGAAAGCTCTTTTAATTTTTATTACATTTTTATACCCTTAATTTTAAAATGCATTTTTACAACAAAATTAAATTTAAGCAACAACCAAAAAGTAATCAAGTTTTGAGAAAATAATAATAATAATAATAATAAAAATAATAATAATAAAAAAACAAAAAACATTTAATTTGTGCAGTTAGAAATTTTTTAAGTTTATTTCAAAAAAATAATAAAATCACTCAATATTAGAACAACAACATCCAAAAGTATTGCTTTTGGATGTTTTTATTTTAATATTGAGTTACATGCTTATCTAAAACATCTATATTTACCAAAAATATAGATGTTTTAGATAAGTATGTAACATGCTTATGTAAAACATCTTGTACCATGCTTATGTAAAACATGCTTATGCCATGTTATTAAATTAAAAATATATATACAGTTCACATTCTGGATTCTTCACTCTCTTAAAGCCTCAATTTTATTTAATTACTGATAAAAAAAGACATTTACCCGACGGGCATTTCTTTTTAAAAGTTACGTTCTAAATGTGTTTTAAACGTCTTTTAAACGTCTTTTAAACATTAATGTTTAAAAGACGTTTAAAAGACAATTAAAATACATTTAGATCGTAACTTTTAAAAACAAATGCCCGTCGGGTATTTATTAAGTTAGATCAATAATATGGTTGCAACATAAATTTTTACAAAAATAAACTAAAAAACAGTTGCCATATAAAAAAAGATTATGTAGATAAGAACCGCAACCATTTTA